AATGTTGTTCAGAAAAATCAATTTTGAAAAAGACTGACATTAAGAAACTTCGAGCCTCAAATACTCCAGAAAATAGGAGCATCTAGCCTCGGCTTGGGCTCTTTAAAGAGACTGTAATTTGATATTAAGAGGGGATAGCTTATTAAGGATTATCAAACTCCAATATCGAATAAAAAAGAGCATTGAAATTGAATTAAATCTTGTGAATGTCTAGTTTTTTAAATGTTCAGGTAAAGGTGTGTCATAGTATCGAAGCTAGATGGCAATGTGGAATAGGTCCTATCATGTTTATTAGCAAAACGAAATGTCAACTAAGCCCAGACTGCACAGAGACACCGAGGGAGTTGTAGGGTAAGGAGTTAAAGAGTCAAGCAAAGTGCCACAAAGGGGGCAAAACGGTAGCAAAGTAAACAGAATTATCAAATTTAAAAGGGGCAAGGAGTAACCGCCGAACCATCGATGTGTGCCCCCTGCTCTGGAGTAATTGAGAAAGCAGGCTCTTCACATGAGGTGGTCACTGCAAATTTCACACGAGCATGCGTGTTTGCATACTTCTATTTTTTAATTCACTAAACAATGGCAGAATAATATTTACCAAGGTTCCATTGCTGACACCTGAAGCAAGATCAGATATTCCGTTTATTAAGGCACTGTTTCAACAGTTGAGCAAACAAATAATAAGCCAGGACTGTTCAAAATCCCTTTTTTGTTTTGTCTAAGTACCCTTTGTGTTACTTGGATATATATACGTACTCATAAAGTCTGTACCTCGGCTTCACCCGCTTCGAAGACCCCTGAATGCAAACAAGACCTTCCCTTTGATGATGTTATATAGCCTGTACTTAGGGGGGGGGCATAATCAAAAGCGTTAGCGCATACTTTCTTTAAAACTCCTTCCTTTCGATTTCTCAAAGAACTTTCTGTAACAAAATAATGCAACAAAATATAAAAACTCTCTTTTTGACAAAATAACACATTCATCTTTACAGCAAAATTCTACTAGCATGAAAATTATTTGAAAGTTTCTCACAGAGGGAGTGTTGTCTAGCATTTAGCCAGACCGTTTATTTATTTCAGTACATGGCAGATCATGTTTGAAGTTCCAAGGGTTGTCAGGCTTGACCAGTTATAGAGTTGCTCGGCCAATGAGTATTAGGGAAGTCACATAGAAAGGTACAAACGAATTAATAACTGTACCAGAACCTCTTAGTATTTTGCATTCAAAGGATTTTTTCTAAGTTCCTATGCAAATTCACAAGCTTAATTTAATTGTCACAGACATTATGCTTAATTTTTCAAAAATCCGAGGCTACGTTGTTCTTAATTTGTTCTTAAATAAATAGAATATAAGCAGTGCGAATGCTAGCTTTTTCGCTCTAGAGTGGTGTTCAGGCCTCAATTGCCAACAAAGTGAGTGAGACAGCCTCCATTTGCCGGCAAATTTGACATATTCACTGAAAAAACACCTACACATGTTATTCATAATTCTTATTCAAAATTACATTTTACAGTAGCTCAGCCTCAGCTTGTTCTTAATTTGTTCGAAAAATTTTGACCAATTTTGAGGCTCGTCTTCTTATAAAGCTATTCTTATAAAAAAGAGTTTAATATAGTCTGCGCGTTTTTAGTTTATTCATTTGGTTGCCATGGGCGAAAAGACGTAAATTAAAATGTCATAATGCTATCTATTTTGACTTAGTCCTAAACGGGTTTAAATATTCGCACATAAGTCCTAAACGGGTTTAAAATATTCACACATTACTGGAAAGATCTTCGGCAGCAAAATTGACACTCAATTAGGTGTTTCTTATTTTGAAGGGAATTAATCAATCAATTAGATCAGAGTAGTTAATTTTTGTCAAATAACTCGCTCTTGAATAATTCATTCTTGATTTGAATTCAAATAATTCATAGCTAAGTGTTCACTCGACTACACTTTTATCAGCTTCAGACAAAACAAATACGACAGTGCCTTTCTATTCATATCAATTTTACAATTAATGATTTCCATTAGAATCACGAGTGATAAACTTTCCGCCTCTTGACTTCACTAATTGAAAATCAAGAGCAAACTGCACAAATGCAAAAACTTATCGATTTTCTGATTGCTTATTTGAACATTTGTGTAAATAGACGATAGCTTTATCGTTGATACGAAAGCCATTTGTGTGGATCAAATTGTTTGCTTTTCCCGTTTTAGAATCGAATCGACATTAAGAAATGTTATGTTCTGCAGGAGGGCTAATTTTTTCGCACAAGCGTAATTTTTTGTAGCCGCACAAGAAATGCACCAAAAAGGACCATATCATAAAGCGTAAATTTGGTGCCCAGCATCCCAGATCTTCCGTTTGGCCTTGCACCAGCAAGAAAGTCATTAACATAATAGATATTAACATCTGAATATTGTTCGTATAAATATTCAGGCTCAGAATAATCCAATTTTTAAGAATATTATAAAAATATTGCTCATTTGTGACTCTTTTTCCAGCAGTTACCTGCTTTGCCATTTTCATTACAGAAAATCGCATGAACGCCACAACTCATCTGCTCAAAAAGCGTGGTTTCTTTTTGCTGCCCTCCCCTGGACATAATATCAGATATAGAAACTCAAGAATACTTTGAGAATATTCAGGCACAAAACGAGAATTTCTCAAGAATATTGAGGCTGGACAAAATTTATGGTATTCCTATAAAAAAGAGTGCACCAGGCAACTTGAACATCTAAGGAAATATGCTGCAAACTTTGCGATGAAACCAAATTCAAGCGATATTTAGGTAACTTGGTACCTTTGTTGAGTTTAAAAACTTAGAATGTTTTTAGAATGTTTTTAGAATGAGACTCACTCCTTACAGAGGAGGCCGCCGAAGAGCAGCAAAAATTATAAGAACAAATTATGAACGTGTATGTGTGTTGCTTAAATTATGGTTTTTAAACTCAACAAAGGTAGTTACCTAAATATAATTTGGCATATAACACAAGGGATCTCATAAAATCATTGGCTCAAAATACCAGCGACCGAAAGCATAAATTCAAGGTGCTCATTAAAAAATGACTTTACTCGCGACTTGAACCGCTTAACCTATATACAGAAGTGATTACAGCAGCAAATGATATTCTATTCACACTTCAAAGTTCCCCAAACCCCACTTATTTTGAGTTGGTAGAAAATGCGTGAACTGTGCAAGGAAAATAAATTTTTCACAGACATTCTCAAGATTCAAAGTTCAAGCATTAATTAATAATTCATAAAAAAACGCGATTCGTATTGTAACCAGAATGTTCTATTGCATAGAATGTTCAAATCAACGGAATTGATAATGAGTAATAGACAAATGGGACATTTTATGATGCAATGCAGCAAATCTTCGACAAGTTTCCTTCGAAATGTTTCGTTTCAGGCTTGTTGTCAAAATTTTTAGGCATAATGATAATGCAAGAAAGCTTTCTTGACAAACAGCAAAAGTTGTCGCAAGAAGCTAAAGGACTCTTTCAAACAAACAGGCATAAGCAATTTCTTGTTGAAATAAGTATTAACGGCGAATGCATTTGTTCTGCAATCATGACAACGCTTGTATCTTGAAGCAAGCTTTTAATAGCACTATTTTCATCTCTTGTGTGTAACTTCTCATCTTCTGAATTGCTTCTTGCAAACAAACAAACGCGTAACCAAATTCATCTGGTTCAATTACACTTCTGTTTGTTATGATAATCGAGAAAAAATTAGTTTCAAATGAAACAAATTTCATTGAATCTCCACATCTCAGTTTTTAATCTTCAGATACGAAATTGATTAACATATCTACACGACACGCGATTAGGCAATAGGAGCTGAGTAAAGTTTCTAATATTCTGACAAACAGCTTCGACGCCGGCGGCACATTTTATTAATAATCCCTTTATCCAAGTAAGCCAGTAAACAGAAAAGCAATCGAAGTAACATTATCCTATATCAACTTTGTTATATGAGGAAGAAAGTCAGAGACACTGATTCATCTGGCAATTTCATCCTTCTTGTTATGAAAGAAAAAGCAAAGAATTGTAGGGTTAGGCACAAGGGTTTTTTTCTTTAATTTTCTTTCCCGTAGCAATCTGTAAAATACAATTTTTCGCTGGGATTGTCATAGAGATAAATAGGACACACAAAAGTTCACGATAATGAAAAACCCTAATATTGAAGTAAAAATTGTGGAAGAAAAAAGACAATGAAAAGCAAGTCAAAATATTCACAAAAAATAAATTGAAAATAATTTTCAATAGATACAAAAGAAACAAAGTCTATTACACAACGATGAAGTGCATCCTGCTCTACATACCAAGATTCGGAATTTCTGGATAAAAAAGGATTCTATGACCGCCTTCGATAAAAGTCCCATCAACTGTTACCAAAAACTAGTTAGAAAAAGTGTCAAGAAAGATTTGTTGATCAAATCGTCGAGAGCTTGAAGAAAACAATTTAGCTTTTATTCTTGAGACTCACAATTTAAGTAGATTATTTCAGGAAGATTAATTCTTCAGAAGAAAAATACCTTAACAATCTTACCAGAAATCAACATTCAAAAAGTTGTAGGCGCCTAAAGTTGCAATTCTATTTACTTAACAGAACACATAAAATTTGAAAACGAATTAAAAGGAAAACGATATAGCAAGTTCAAATCTTAGTCAAATTTTGTGACAGTAAGCATTGAAACTAGTGCAGCTTAGGAAATGGATCAAATTTCGCAAAATAAGTAGCATAACCAGGACATTTATGTTGGTTCTTCCACCGAGGTGAACTTTGATCTGTAAAATAATAAAAACAACAATGCACTCTCTTCTGTTTGACAAATGCCCGTTAGATTGCTTTTGTTGAGTCAGTAATTGCATAGGAATATGTGAAATAAACTGTGCCTTGATTTTTTTCAGGCGACGTACTTTCAGCTGGGACAACATGTTTACTCAAACTTTTTCGGTGCTTCAGCTTCATTAATTCGCTTACTTAACCGATTAGTATTTAAGGACTGATACTTAATTGATTTGAATTAGAAACTAAGCATCTAGTCTCGAAGCACTTGTCTCTGCAACGGTGATAATCTGTGTCAAGAATTCCTAAAACTGTTGCGTGACAACTTTGAGAAGACAGAATCTTCTAGGTTGTAGAGGATAAAGAAGAAAATAAGCCTAGATTGTTTAATTTCGAGGAGATATAAATCATATACCAAAAAAGAAAAGTAACAAAGACGTCAAGACAAAAGAAAACGTGGCCTTTTTGTCCAGTTCGATGCGAATAAGATATGCTTAACAATTAAAAAGAGCTGTTTATTCGACTTCTTGTACAAGAAGATCCATTGACTGCTTTGCGAGAATTGACAACAGAAGAAAATTGCAGGTCAAGATTGAAGTCGAAAGAAAGATATCCATTGTGGAATGATATATTTCCCACATAAAAGAAAGAACAAGAATCTTGAACCAAACGTGCTCCATTTGTATACTTCAGAAAGAAAATATCAGCTAGCAGAAAACTGAAAATATTCTGAAAATGCAGCGGAAGCCTTTTCTTTCTATTGATGACATTTTAGAATCCAACCCAGTACCAAGTCAATATTACACGTTGAATACAGAACGACAAAATGCAAACAGACGTAGATTTTTCAAACAGCCATACAGAAGTGAGAGCAACTGTAAACTAAGAAATGTGACATTTGTACCATGCCATTCAACATGCTGCTGTGGCAAAAATCCACAAATATACAGGCGAAATCCATTTCTGCACCAGCAATACTTAAATTTTGGCAACCTGGGTAAGTTTATGGTTGATATGTAACATGCCTAGCTGCACGAAACAACGAAGCTACAATGCTGGGCAGGAGGTGTTGGGATCCCACACCTCCTTCCCTTTGCAATGTAATTAATGTCGTGTTTTTAGCGATCCGTGTGTAACATTGAAAGCAAGAATGACCCGAGAATAAACAAGTCTTTACACTTTATACGAAAAAATGATTAAGAACAAACACGCATATTAGTTGGTGAACTTCGTTCGTTAAGCTATCAGAAATCGATCCATTTCCGTTCCGTCCAAACCTAAAAAACAACTCTTCTCCAACTCAACTCAAATCGCTCTTCTTACGTCAATCTCCTACAGTGTTTCTTTGTTACTCAGCAATACTGTTATGTTACGGATTAATACTTTCTAATTGGAAAGCCAACAATATGTTATTGCATCGACGCGTGAAATTCAACAAACGTTAATGATAATCATAACAAGAAATACTGCAGCATACTACCTTCCCATCTTTATCATCAAAGTACCTTTCCCTATTTTTAAAGATAGCAGAGTAAGGGAGAAGGAGGGATCTACATAAATGCTGATCTACACGAGTTGGTTAGCCCCCCAGAAAGCTGTGTTCAGGGTTCTAGGTGTTCTAGATCTATTCATCACATTTTATTATAAAACTCAAGGCACGTTTTCTGTTATGGGTTTTCCAGTAAGTGTAGATCGTTAAAGAACATTCTTGTAAATTAGCGAAGCTGTAGCAGCAAAATAAGTGGCAGAAATTGCTCGAAGTTGCGAATTAGGTAGGTGTGGGTAAGCAAATATGTTTCTAGTTAGTTTGGATAAGGTAACCCACGCATACTAATTTTAGTGGAAGTTGTTTTGACTAGCAAAATGCCATTCAAGCAATGGAAAATCAGGTAAGAATTTGAAAAGATAGGAGCAGCAAGGATGTATTTCGGTTGGAACAAAGGGCACCATCTCTTTTTTGACGTTTGGGTGCACATCTTGCGTTTCTTAATTTCTCTAATCTGCTCTTACTTCCCTTTATTTTCAAAAAAGCGAGCGGAAATTAGCAAAAAAGAACAGGTTGTCGTGTATGGGACATGCCACCTTAAAGATGCGTAATTAAAATCAATCTCAGAATAACTTTCAGTGAAGCCTCGCTCCCAGCAAAACCTCGGAACCATGAATTTACAAATCACGTCATCACCTCATTCTTCTTCAGCCATCTTGTCTAGGGTTCTTGGTCGATAGAAACTCTTGTATGGAAAATTTTCTAAATTATTACGATAATTTTTTCTTTTCTTAGCGAGCCAGTTATATTTCCGAAGTCATTTTATCAATCAGCCGAAAAAGCGAATGCGGGCATCGTTTTCACATGACCAAGTTCTTGCCTTGCGGAAAGTCTTTGAAACGAAAAAATACCTCGGCAACACGGAACGGACAGAGTTGGCAAAGCAGCTGAACATGACGGAGCAACAAATAAAGATATGGTTCCAAAACAGAAGGTAATTAATTACTAAAACAAGGATCTTTAACGATGGATGTTTCAACGGGTATCGAATCACACTCGCATTTATTGCGGATTCTTACGAATAACACGATTGGCATTTGCACGATAAAGAAGATCGAAAATTTTTTTTTGCAAGTTTGTACCACATGAAATTGTGAACCAAGGAAAGCAAATAGGTAAAATCATGAACATGTCAGGCTCTTAAAATCGCTTTGCAAGAATGCAAACTAGGCTTAGTCAAGTGTGCGAAGAAAAAACTTTTTGATATGGAGGAAAGAGTTGAGGACCTTAAAGAATGGATGGACATAAATGACAGACTCAGTGGTCCTTGGCAATGACTTCCAGTCTTTTCTTCGTTAGAGACATTGACACAAAAATTAATCGTTAAGTTTCAGCCAAACTGAGTACAGTAATATATGAAAAAAAAACGCGAAAAAAACTATTATTGAAATGAATCTTATTCGTTCTCTAAGTAAACAATCTTGCCAACTGATAATTGGTCATTTAAATGCATTTTGCGTAACACACAAACCCAAGTGTAAGTGATCTGTTTACTGTAAGCAAAAAATATGACCCAACAAAAGAGTATAAAGCTTTGCCAAAATATCAACCCCTGCAGTTCTATTAAGCGTTACGAATTTTAGATTTTAGACATATGCTTCCGTCCATGATAAACGCTGGACAACAACATTCATCCGTTTTAGATTAGTCCTCTTCTCTAACAGCTGACATTAGTTTCTATTTACTTCCGCAGCTGAAAACATGAGCCATGATGCTTAACCATTCTTAATAGAATGTTTTTATTGCTTTCAGGTTTCGAATGTCAATGCTGATAACATTACCAAATATGCATCACTTAGCTATTTCTTTTTTCAACACCCAACAGCTTAAGGCAATGGCAGCGCCAGCCACTAAGCTCTGGGGGGGGGGGGGGGGACAAATCAAACAAATTTAAGCCACGCCCTTTTAACCACCAGAAAACACCCTTTTACCAACAGGAAACGCCAATTATATCCGAAGGGAGCGCCCATGACAAACTTTTGTTTGAAAATTGGAAGTTTGAAAATCATAGGATTTTATTACAAAAAGTACGATGCCAAAATATTACCCCTCCCCCAACATTTTCTCATCGAATTTAGACGAAATACAATATCGATTCTGCTGAGAGCTGGGGGGACGTGTCCCTCCAGTCCCCCCGTGGCGCCGCTACTGGCTTAATGTCTGGAAAGCTTTGACCTTCTGATAGTGCATTTCACATCATTTTGTTCAAATATATGTTATGCTGTACTTTCTATTTACATATTTTCAACTATTGCAGATACAAGGAGAAAAAACAGCAAAAACTTGACGAGTTGTTAGAAGACAGTGGCGCGATGGAAGTGTTTGAGGATGACAGATTTGGAGAAGGAAATTCAGCAAAAGGCTATAACTTTGATACTGATAATGATGATTATCTAGAAATTATTGACTAAAAATGAGCACTACGAAGTAATAAAGCTTATGGATGTTGTAAATAAAATGAAGTAAGTTAGACGATGCTATTTGAAGTTGAAAAATGAATTTAACAGTGAATAAGAATATGATGAATTTTAGAGCAAGACAGCAATTTAACTGACTGAATATTATCTTGAAGTGAAGAACGATAGAAAATTTGAAATTGCCTTTATGACTGGTTGGCAACTCCGCGATTTTTTTGGGCTTGTACAACAGCAACTGCTGTTGAACTAGCCATCATGGTGGATAAACGAGTTAGTAGATGAATAAATACGCGATACTTGACGCCATTTTTATAATATCAAGCAAACGAAAAACAAGAACACGAGGTAAGATCATAGGGTTACAAAGTCACATGACCCAGTCCTCCTAACAACAACAAAATTTTGTGACTATAATTAAAAACTAAAGTTTAATACTTAACAACTGCAAGGAGTACGTGTGCTGACACATGAGATCATCTGACAGCTTGGTCTATTTACCACACTGTTTTACCAGTGACGTCATAATATTTTAAAATGGCCTTGAAAAAGTATTTCAATTTTGATCAAAGTTTACTTTTTTCAAATTGCTCAAAGATATTGTTGTATTTTTGTCCCACTTTATCAAAATCTTTCATTGACCGTGGGTAAAAAGGTAAGATTCAGCAAGATAGGAATAAATTTGATGTTAAAATTAGTATTCAGAAAAGATAACAGCTTGACAAACCTTCTAAGAGAAAATTACATGTATGGATTGTAAGAAATGTGAGAAGTACTACAAAGCCATACGTTCGTCAGTCTTTCTGTTGGTGTACTTCACTTCCTAGCAGCCAGAAACAGCCAGAAAGAACCTAGCATCAGATTCTTTCCGAAAGGAGGAAATTCATCCATTTTTTAAAAAACAAAAACTAACTGAAACAAGAACCTAAAGAAATTACATTCTCAGAACTTGCAAGACTCGGATTTAGGAATTCCAACCGTCATCAGATTCTGTGCAAAACATTTTTTCTAGGAATATCACTACCAAAGGACGTTCGTTTCACCTGTCAGGCCAAAGATTAGAGAAACCTTTTGGCTGATAAGGGCGTTAATTCAAAACAGCATGAAGCAGTGATATCATGGCGGTGTCTCAGTTCATCTGCGCTGTCATTCATTGCTCACCATGGGATACAAAAACTTGAAAATAATTAACAATCAATAATTTGAATTGAATACTTTGATACGCTTTCAAAATAAACATTACGAAACATTTCAAAATAATTCTTCATAAGAAATTGTTTGTCTTAGATTTCGATTTGCAATCTAAATTTTAGTCTGGTTTTTTCATGGTCAAGTTCCACATAGACCTTCAAACTTTTTCTTCAAAAAATCTTGCTCATTGGACCTTTAAACATAATTTGCATCTAGAATCGGTTTTCCAAACAAAGCTATTTACTTGAAGCTGTAATTTGCAGAATTCCAGTTTTACATACAACTAAATGCATTATCCCATCCCAAGCAACTAACCTGAATCTGTCCTAAAGACAATGTTCGGGCTGGCATGATTTCAAGAAAGGAAACAGTGGCTATAGCGAAATCGCAACCTTCTCTGCCATAAGAAATATAAGTCGCTCTTCTTTACGTTTTTCAACAAGCTAAAGGGAAAAGAAAACTTCAATATGGATGCCTTTTCTATGGTCGTCGCAATAGATCTTCTGTACAAGCCATTCGCGCAAGATACAGGCATTCTGTCTGTGGTTTAATCAGGTACATTGAGCAACTCTTCTGGTTGGAGTTCTTTTACTGATTCTAGGCCAATAAATCCCTGGCGATCTGCTCTTTCGTGTGAAAGAAGCATAAATCACATATGGAAACCAACAGACGTGAATCGGCACTGACTAAGTTGGTATAGGAGACTGGCATTTGGAAAGAACGCAGCTTCTTTCGATACCATTGAAGAAATTTGAAGGCTGACCGAAAATCTTTGATAAAGCTCCATTTCGAATTTCCAAAGTTTTCTCAAAATCCCATGCATGGTCAAAAGAACAATTTCCCAAAATATCGTAATCCTCGCATCGTCCTCCCTTGTAAAAGCCCTTACCACCACAACAAATAAATTTTTACAATACATGATGTTACTCCCATGACAAAATATATTATAAATTTCTAACCACACTGTGAACACGATGCCAAAAAGGTCGAAAAGAAACTCGTTAAAAAGCACAATAATTTTTCAATTGTAAAAAGCACTATTTCATGTCAATAGTTTCTTGTTCCTTTGACTTCATTTTTAAGGATAAATGGCTTGGTAACACAAATCCATTATTAAAACATCACCCACAAAATAAGAGTATACAAATCCATAGCAAAATACCTAATATAATATAATTAGCTATACCATTTCAAAAAGGCCTTTAATTGGATAATTTCAAGCGGCCTACACACCGTTGTTAGTAATTTGAAAAAATTATCTGGCTAAAGAAGCTAAAATATCAAAGATCTTGCTACCGCCTTAATAATGTCAGGAATTCATCTCTACTTCTCGGGTCATCCCTCAAGGTACCCAGCATGCAACTTGTTACCGTCATAGCGCCAGGTTTCTGAACTCCACGCATTACCATACACATGTGACTAAAAGAAAAAAGGGCATTCGTAACAAATAATCAAACTTTATTAATAACTACGGACATGTATTTCATTGCATTATATTTTGTGCACCAATATAAAATTGCACTTGTTTTATGAATGAACCGATTATCGCTTATGTTGTAGAAGGATTTATGTCCCTTTTTTCTAAAAGGTCTTTAAGGTTGCGGTTAAATTTGCAGCGAGGATCAAAGCCACCTCTAGTTCGTAATAAATTTGAAAACGTTGATACTTTATCTGAGTTAGATAGAAAAATTGATATTTAATTTAATTTTGATAAAATTTGACCGAAATCGAATGTTACAATAAAAATTGCTTCTAGACTTTCTCAAAAGCAGTTTCTAACTAGTTTCCGAGCAGTTTATCAACTCTGGGCACAAACGTAAACATATGATTCACGCCCAAGGAAAGCACATGTATAGAACAAGCGTTATCGTGAGCACACTCGAAACCAGGAGGTATTTCACAGCGGCAAAACAGCCCAGAATAATCATCCATTGAATAATTTATAACACTGTAGCGTATTAGTACAACTTTGGATGCAACAATACAAATAATAAATTTAAGATACAAAAGCAAAAATCAAAATAACGCTATAGTCACAAACTGTACACCACAGGACTATGATAAGAATTAATCTTTCTTAAAACGTTCAGGTGCAGATCAAAAATATTTAAAGAGAACGTTGGCACCTTTTATTCGTCCTTCCTCTTATGTTTTTAATCAACATCTTGACATATTATTTTTTTAGATATTTACTTTATACGATAATATTTCTTTTAAAGCATTTTTCTCAATTGTCTATATCTTTAGATATTACTTTTTATAAGAATGAACGGCAAGACAAGATAGTGGCAGACATTTACACGATCATATTCAGGTAAAATTTCCATCACATTTTTTATTTGATCACAGATTGTGATCGTGTAAACAACCTTAAAAGTTGTTTTAAATTTCACGAAGCAGCAGCAATTAATCCTTTTTTATTGCCTGATAATTTGCCATCACAGATTTTTCATTTGACCAGCGATCAATTCCTGCTGCAGCTTCAAGCAACTTTCAAGGTCGTTCACACGATCACAGTCTGTGATCACATGTAAAATGTGACGGAAATTTTACCTGAATATGATCGTGTAAACCGGCCTTTAGCATATATACAATTTCTGATAAGCTGTGGCCCAAAAGCAAGCTCCAGCGGTAGTATGAACAACTTAGCGGATGACGCAACCATTAGAGCAAATGTGCTATTTGCTGGTAAACATTGACAACACGATTAAGCAGCCATTAATTGTTTGAAGATTATTCACGAGAAGCGAATATCTGAAGCCAAAACGAAACATTAATGGATCAGATACAGGCAATGTAAATATGATGAATTATAATTTTATAATCTAAACAAAGACATGTCGCAAAGTTTTTAATTTATTGACATACACAATCAAAATGGTCGAAACTATCATTGTTTCGATTATGGCAACCAATCAAAAATCGCAGAGAAGAAGGAAGCAATAAACCTAGCCACCAAGACAGCAAGCATTTTAATGCGAAAGGTAGCCATTCTCTATAACTGGGCAAAGTTGATTTTCGCTACAATGACAATTGTAGACAAGATAAAGACCCCTACGGGAACAATCGATTTAGTGGAAAATCCTGCCATTTAACCATTCAAATTCAATATTGAAAATTCTGGTTGCCTTGAAAGCAGCGTCGAGACAAAAAAGCAAGAAAGAACAAAAGGAAAAGGCAAAAGGAAGAATGAATAAGAGGAGCCAAAAACGAAGAAGCAAGAATGATGAAGCAAGAGTAAAGAAGCAAGAAGCAAGAATGAAGAAGCAAGAAGCAGGAAGCAAGAATAAAGAAGCAAGAAGCAAGACGCAAGAAGTAAGAATGAAGAAGCAAGAAGCAAGAATGAAGAAGCAAGAATGAAGAAGAAAAAGCAAGACGCAATAAGTAAGAACGAGGAGGCAAGATACAAGACGCAAGAAGCAAGAATAATGTTGCAAAAAATAAGAAGCAAGAATGAAGGAGCAAGAATGAAGAAGCAAGACGCAAAAAGTATGAATGACGAGGAAAGAAGCAAGAATGAAGAAGCAAGAATGAAGAAGAAAAAGCAAGACGCAATAAGTAAGAACGAGGAGGCAAGATACAAGACGCAAGAAGCAAGAATGATGTTGCAAAAAATAAGAAGCAAGAATGAAGGAGCAAGAATGAAGAAGCAAGACGCAAAAAGTAAGAATGAAGAAGAAAGAAGCAAGAATGAAGAAGCAAGAATGAAGAAGAAAAAGCAAGACGCAATAAGTAAGAACGAGGAGGCAAGATACAAGATGCAAGAAGCAAGAATGATGTTGCAAAAAATAAGAAGCAAGAATGAAGGAGCAAGAATGAAGAAGCAAGACGCAAAAAGTAAGAATGAAGAAGAAAGAAGCAAGAATGAAGAAGCAAGAATGAAGAAAAAAAAGCAAGACGCAATAAGTAAGAACGAGGAGGCAAGATGCAAGACGCAAGAAGCAAGAATGATGTTGCAAAAAATAAGAAGCAAGAATGAAGGAGCAAGAATGAAGAAGCAAGACGCAAAAAGTAAGAATGAAGAAGAAAGAAGCAAGAATGAAGGAGCAAGGAGCAAGAATTAGGAAAAAAAAGAAGAAGAAAAAAACAATAATAAAGGGGCAAGAATTAAGAAGGAAGAATGAAATAGCAAGAATAAATAAGTAAGAAAAATAAGAATTAAAAAGCGAGAATGACGTAGCAAAAATGAAGTAGCAAGAATGAAGTAGCAAGAATGAAGAAGCGAGAATGAAGTAGCAAAAACGAAGAAGCAAGAATTGAGAAGCGAGAATGAAGTAGCAAGAATGAAGCAGCAAGCAAAATTCTTGTTTTATGGACTGATTTTCTCGTGGCTCACAACTATTTCAGTGTCTTTTCTGATGCAGGTAGTTAGAGGAGATATAAATCAGCAACATATAACAATTTTTTGGGGCTTTTGAACAGAACTTTAAAAAATTTGGCTCTTTTAGTTTACGCAGTTACGGGGGGAATATAGCAGTGGCTTGTCGTGTTTTTATGAGTTGAAAAAGTATGTGCTTGCAATGTTTATCTTCATATAAATTAGAAAGAACTATTTGAGTCTATTATCTAACAATATAGACCATTTAAAAGATATAATTCTTGAGTTTTTCTGTCTGTCGTTTAGAACCAAATATGGCATGAGTAGAAAAGAGCGAATTTTTTTATTTAGTTTGTCAATTTGAATTTGTAGAAATGAAATTTGATTTGAATCAAATTTCTTTTCTTTTGGTAAGAACAAATTAGTAATCTTTGTCGTGAAAATGTACCCCGAAGGTATTTTGTAGGCCTAAACTAAAGATACCGAGTGTGGTTTTGAAATAGTCTAAAAATATCAATGATTATATAGAATCAAAAATTGGTTACTATATTTAAACTCTGTTATTAATATCCAAGCATTGAATTATGACCTATTTTCAGCCTTTTCTAGAGTTAGGCCTAGATATTTCATAGCACTTTTTGTAAACCAAGAAAGAAAAAGTAACTAAATCACATCTTTGTACAAATGTGTTAAGAAAATAATGCATGAAGTGGCTAAAAATTGTTGCTGGATTCGTTTTAAAATAGATCAATCATTAGTTTCTGGAATTTCGACGAGACAGAAAACACCACAGCAAGCACCACGACTGTAAATACTTGGATTTTGCGAAATTCGGCTTATACTTCCAATATAAACATCAATTCATAAATTTAAGTGCAGTATAAGGCCACTCACCAAATTTCACATCGATATTAGAAAGAGAAGTGAACGAAATCAATCCTTACTTTTACCAAATTTATAAGGGCTCAGTATGGAGCAAGTTCCTTTTTGCCACTATTAAAAATGGCGGAAGTAAACAAATTTGCCTCACAGCTTAAGCCTTGGCCAAACGATTCGATCTTTCGCTCGATTTTTCACTCAACTTTTCACTGACGCCAACAAAATGAAGGCGCAAATCGGTTGCCGTGTTTATCTTACGTGCAAATATCCTTTCACAATCACTTGACAAACGCAAGCGAAATAAGACCATGTTCGTTCGTTCAATGCAGGAACCGCGATTAAGTACTTATTTCGATTAAGCAAATTACAACTTTCAGGCAAAATTTTGTCTCTTTTGATTAATTCCATTCTTAAAATGGAATTCATCACTTAAAAAGGTCCCCTTGACCTCGAGGCCCCAGGGTAGTATGCTTCTTTACCCAGCATAAGAGATGATAACTGCGCACGCGCACACTAGACTCACTCGACAAGGTGGCCAAACGATTCGATTTTCATTCGACAACACCTTTTTCACTCGATTTTTTTGATAGAGATCAAACTTCACTCGACATCATTCGACGCCAATCGACTTGCTCGACAAAGTGGCCAAACAACTCGATTTTTCACTCGATTTCACTCGTTTGGCCGGGGCTTTACCTGTGAGTTAGACATCTAGCGCCTTCGGCGCTTCTATATCATTGATTTGTTAGGAGTACTTTGCGAACGAGGCGTTATTTTGAATCAGAGGCATGGATTTGAAGGATTATTGCAGTGGACACCCATCGCATGCAAGGTGTTGTTTTTCAACTTCAGCCCTGAATAGATTATGCAGTTTAACAAGATTGATTTAGTTTTAAAAGGAGGAGATGATTAAAACAAGGATAAGCAAATACCCACGGACAAATGCTGGCCACCAGTGTAATTTGGATTAATCAACACTCTACGAATAAATGTTTTTGCTACAGCAGTGCGATTTCAATAAGATTAATAAAACCAGCAGACAAATCTTTAATGAAACTGTATTGCAGTATCGCTCATGATATTACAAAGTGACGTCAGATTTTCCATCAAGCAAAATAAAGAACAAGGACGACTAGAGAGGACACAACTGCACTGAAGGAACATTAAAGCAATTGCTTTAAAGACTGAGAAGTAGTAATAAAAGCACAACGTTCGCAAAGACAGCTGCTGAAACGCTACAGACGCCATTTTGTTTAGTAGTTGATGGGCTTATCTCCAGAGCTATAATGAGTGTGTGGATTGGGTTTGGGTTTTATGCTTCACAGAACCAAAATCATTTCATTGGAATATGTTCATGAAAAGAATATAAATATACGGTCTAAATAATGTCATTAATGTCGCAACAACTTTGAAATATTGTTAAAGTAAATAATTTGTTTGATTTGATATGTCCTTGTGAGAAGGTCTTGAATTGGTATCGAGAAAAACCTTAAGTTGTCTTAAAAATACATTTATGCATATCATTGGCATTTCACTTAAATGAGCGTCAAATTTCTAAATCAGATAGTGCCAGAAAGGGACACATGATCATATTTTGGAGTAGGATTGGGGGGAGGTGGCTTTAGAAATATTGGGGATAGAGTTCCCCAAGCGCCGGCGTGCCTGGTAAAGCGAGAACAGAATTGTCTTACCATTACATAGGCTTAAAATTTTTTACTTTAGATATCCGCTTCTTGATGTAAAGCACGCTTCCAAGTTTCTACTCGGAGTATCACGCTGACTGGATCATCAGGTAACATGGCTCATACAGCTCTGCCTATAAAACATCGAGCACTTTATGATAGCTCGGTGAACAGTAATTTTCATTACTTTAGTATTGATAATTAATGTGATATCTCAAATTATTCTAAAGTGAAAAAATGTCTTCGACTGCAGAATGAAGAACATAAAAGCTAATATTTATCTATAATTTTTTGTTAGAAAAATCGCTCTTGATTACAAGGTAACTATAAATTCCTAAAAATCGATACTTAACATCTCGTGTAATGGTCTATAAACACGCGTGTTAAATAATGAACGAGGATAGAAACGCAAGATACCGATTTCACGATACTTACATTGTTATGTAACATATGACACATGCTTGTCATTTTGAAATAACTTGATAACACCTCGACTAGCAAACAGCGAGATGTCAAAATGAGCGCTCACATGTCAAGTCTTGTTATCACAGTTTAAGGTAATTATCGTTTCGAAAACAGATTGAAGAAGCCATCCTTGTTCATCACCTGAAAGTAAAACTGTTGACTTCTTTTCTCAAATCGTTCAAACGTATCAAAACCTGGACAATTTTTACAGCGATCACGTACCGAAATAACAAGAAACAAGTTACGTCTTTTCCAATTAAAAAACGGAATTAAATGACATTTGTCAATGGACAAGGCTTGGAAAATCTATCTACATAAAAATAACACTTTTTGTTTCCTTATGTAAGCAGTATTGGCTAGACCTTAAGGTATCGAGTTTTGAGACACTGGGTATTTGACTTCTTCGATATTTTCTCAATCTTTTGTTCGACTCCTTTGAGATCAAAGTTGTGAAGACATAAAGAAAATATTTTGCCTTTTTCAGGCCCTTCCCACTCCCTCAATTATTCCAATCATATTCTGTCACTTGAGAGTTCAGTATAAGGCATAGAAGGTTCTTCATCAACTAGAAAGGGTTCAAAACTTTGGAGAAACCAAAGAACATCCAATTATGAAAGGGAATAGGCAATTTAATAAAGCGTATGAATACATTTTGTGACCATCAAAAATACAATTTGTGACCACTGCACCAAGTAAAGCGCATTCATCTTGTACCTATATTAAATAAATTTCTTAATAGAATATTTTCCGGAGGAAAATGAAAAGCTTTAAGTCTGAGTTACGATACTAAAAGATAGAGGGTTCTGTATGCTAGAGGATCCTTGTTTTTCTTTTGAGTTGCTGACGTTTTCTCAACCCGAAACAAAATAATTAGAACAAATTTACTTGCAACAATTCACATAAACATATTTTTTATCTCTAACCTTGACACGAATATTCCTATAATAAAGGCGATAAAAAACACCACGACGAAGCAGACAATGGCGCTGTGAAATATCAACATCAGCAAAAATCTCGAGTTTTAAGGACGACAGATGCAAAGCATGTGGCAGTGTGAAGCTTTTTTACAGAAATTATCTTGATCACATTTTCATTTATGTGTTGTAGATAAGTTCAGAGGAGAGATCTGCGTTCGCTTCAAGCCTTAATAATTGCATGCAGCGCACCTGCGTTATGTGTGAGACACCTGCTTGATCACAAGAGAGGTTAAATCCCCTCTCAATAGCTATTTAAGTATCATGCATTGTCGACAAACCACAGTTTCATTTGCTAAGAGCCGAGAGGTTAGCTGAATTTGAAGAGACTTTCATACATTTCTAGACCATGACAAGCCCAATACTGAAGACCTTCTTGTCTTGGACAAAGAGAGGGACGCAGAGCAAAGAAAGGAGAAAAAGTGGTGAATCCAAAAAGCTGAAAAGAAGCTCATCGCGTAATTCTTCAGGGTCTGATAATTCGGATCACTGCAGCCAATTCTTCAGGTAGTCTGATAATTCGGATCACTGCAGCCAATTCTCAAGTGGCAGTGAAGAAAGTGTAGAATATTGGTCACCATCCTGTCGAATGATTCGGAGGCATGCAATCTGCGAGGAAAACCTACGCGAGTATTATACATACTGGTGTATTGGCGATACACACAACCAAACAGAAGAACACCATCGAACGAGCCAAACAAATCAGAGAAAGGAACGATAACACATGTGATTTGCTAGGATTTATCGCTTTGGATTGGAGATTCATCCCTTCGCGTAGTTATTGGCCAATTGACAGGGGCTTCGAACACTTTGAAGTGCCACGAAGAAGAGAATCTGGCGGGATTTTTGCAGACAGGCAATCCCATAGACAATAACCGCAAAGACAAAAAAAAAACATTAGAATCGCACTATGCGACTAAACTTCCCGAGATCGAGGAACATCCAAGAAGTCAAACTGTAAGTTTGAAGTTTTTAATGCAAAGTTTGGGAAAGAATAAAATTCATTTTTGTAATTATGTAGCTATGTAAATTTCATCCAGTAGTTTGTCATGTTGTAGTAAATTAAAACGAATTTTGAATGCTGCAAGTATGGTGCTTTGGTTAATGGAATGAGATTTTTTAAAGAAATATTGGCGATTTTCTGCAATCTCTCTACATATTTCCTTGAAGCAAGCAAGCAAAGGTGCAAATATCCACTCTGATGTCGCAGAACATAAACTTTTAAGCCTAGAAAATATTTTTAGGGATGTCTACTAACATACTACACTTAAGAAAAATCAAAGAGCAGCTTTGTCGTTTGCAAAAATAACATGTTCGCTTGCAGTTTGAATATATTCGATATGGAATTTCAACATAGCAAAAATTGGGCTCGAAATATTTCTTGAAGAACAAACTAAACAACGAATTTAAAACACTTTCAAGATACAAAAAGGTTTCTTAAAAATGCATTCAAAGCCTTAAATTAAGAGTGAGGTCATCTTCTGATACTTTGAGTCTTCGAGCCATAACACTTGGTTGGTAATATAAGAATATTCGAAGAAATTCCGCAAAAGCTGAACATTTTCTGTCGCGGAGGTCTTCAATTAACCCAGTAAAGTTTGACTTCAAAAGTTTAGATTGCTATTCATTTGACAGAATACATTAGAATATATTTCACAGAAAAGATAAAGGGTAAACAATATTAAAAATGGCCTTTGTAAAGCTCCGATTCTTGATGGCTTCAATTATTAAATAGCAAATCTTCCAAAAATATAATTGTTCTATCATTTGAAAACTCTTCAGTCATAGCAAATTTTCTTTCTTGCTTTCTGCTTTGGCGAAAATAAAGTTACATTTTGACAGCAATCTCAATTTTCGACCAAATCACTGGAATTATTGTGATGACAAAAAAAACAGAAAACTCAAAATAAAATTTAAATTATTTCCAAAAATTGAGAATAATTTCTTTTCCATTTGATTAAAAAATGATCACTGCTCAACACTGCCAAAGTTGTAATAAAAAGTTTAGATTAAATTATTTATAATTTGTGATAAAAAATAAGACAAATTTTATATGTCAAATACAAAATACATGAAGGTTGAAAAAATTATCGATGTCTTATTTTAAATAAAACCATTAAATTCATAAAAAACAAACACAAATTTCAGATAAAAAATTCTTGAAGCTGCACATTATTTCCTCGTTGCCAATTCATCAGCAAAATATGATAAATGTTGTTTTCATCATGCGCTAAAAATGTAGCTCAAAAAAATTCTGCCATCAAAATTTAAAAATGTGCAAGTAATTGTATTAATGACATGCTTTTCATGAAAAGAAATAACTTAAAAACGAATGGTAGGATTTTGAATTCATAAGTTAATTATCTATTTCAAAATGATTTCGACAAATTTTTTGGCCATATTCAAGACATTCTTTTGATAGGCGGAGATCTTATTCATCTATGTTGCTATCATGGTTTTAATAAGTGTGATGGCATTGCCAAAGACCAGTGCTAAATGGGGCACACGGGGCAACCGCCACGGCCCTCTTTCTTTCGGCAGTATTTGCATACAATCGTGGTGAGAAAAACCGCAAAAATATTTGTAAACATCGATGACATCAAACATCGAAACAAGATGCTGGATTATCAGATCTGTGGAGCCATGCACGTAGTGACATTGACTTTAGAACGAGACTACTTCAAAATGTCATCCTTTTAATTTTCCAACAACAACAACCTATACACGCCATGAGAAGGGCATTTTCAAAACCAAATAAATGGTGTTACATTATATGACTGTTATGTATCTTTGATGTCCATAATAGATAGTTAATGAAGTCGTGTGATCGTGTGATATTTTGATTAATCACAAACAGATGAAACATCTTATTTGATTAAAAACATCTAAAAAGCACTCAATATAAATTTTGATTGAACGGCTTAAAATTTATTTCGCTTTTCGGTATGAAATACAATATAACTTTATAGCAAGGAATTATGAAAATGAAACTCTCAAATAATGTGAGGGTAATGATTTCTGAAGTCAAAGACAAAGAAGTAACAAAGATGCTCGAAGGGTTTTGGTTTTAAATGCTTTGGTTTTGGTAAGAACAACGAATTGACCAGTATGGAGGCATTTTATAGTTGATGTTGAAATGATATCGATATCCAACGGGTTATGACGTCAATTAAAGGCTTTCAGTGACAGGAAACTTGTACAAGACTGGTCTTTCCATTCAAAGGACAACAGGAATCAACTTAATAATTAACACTCATTTGTGGCCTCTGAGTCGTACAGACAATTAGGTACGGATTATCAATGAAAATAGTTTTCTTTAGTCCTGAATCAAAGACTGGGTCACCTGAGAAATAATTCATTCTTTCCTGAATGAGGTCGTCGAGATAAAATATGCTTCATCAAAAAAGCATATCTTGAGGAAAGCAAAAGGAGGATAGGATATATAAGTAATAAGATGAAAGCCACGGAGAAACTAAAGCTAATCAGCCTCTGTTTGAAAAATAGCTGAAGTCAAGAATGGTTTAACCAGTTGCCCAGTTGACGTTGCAGATGAAATATGAACCATTTCATTTCATTTTATTTTCATTAATTTCATTTCAAATGTTTAAGGAGGGTAGCCCTTCAGCAATGCTGATTTTCAAGGGGCCCTCCACTTAAAATACTTACAGAAATTTTTATAAAAAACAAATTATCCTAATTACAATTCAATATTTACAATCTCAAATAAATCCTATTTTAACTTGAATTCAATCTTAACAATTTTACTTGAATTTAATTATCAGTAGGGGCGTAGCTAGCAGTGGAGGGTGTAGGGGGTGTTACCCCCCCCCCCAAATATTTCATAAATTCGTCGGTAAATCTTCAATTTGTCTACAAAACTTGTTTTAGTTTGTCGGTAATCATCATCTATCAGTAGGTGAAAGAGCACCTAAATTCTTCTCAATCTTTTTGTTCGTCGGTAAATTTTTCTATTGATGACCCTCCACCCCCTAGTGTGGAAGGTCAAGCGACGCCACTGATAATCATCGTTAAATGAATCTCAACTATATATGAAGTTAAAGGTTCAGCTCAAATAAATACGAACAAAAGTAAAGAAGAAACCCATTTTTATCAAAGGTACTGTTGGCTTGTTCTACGCGTACAATTCAAACTTAAAATTACACAGCTGTTTTTAAGGGTCGTGGCTTCTATTTCGTAATAATCGTTTCTTGTTTCAGCTCTGCCAACAAAGTAAGCAGAAACTGGCTCTTACTAAGACAGACAGGTCAATATTAACTTTCATCCCATAAAAAGATAATCAGAAAGCAACCGAACGAGGTTTGAGCCAAAGAAATAGAGAGTCATAAGAATAAATGAGGATGGATATAAGGAGAAACAATCTGGGGTATAGGAGATTCAACAGGGATGACAAGGAATGAAAAGGAGGAAACACCATATGACAACCACTGCAGCAGGTCTCAATGCTGTTTCAACGTTCTCTGCATTTGGGTAGGGTGGGGGACGTATGGCAGAGGGAATCGCAATGCATCTTTAGGCATACATTTGGCATTTTTTGGTATACTTTTTGTATACTTTTAATGTACTTTTGGAATGGTGCGTAAAAAGCTTTGCACTTAGAACTGGTAAACATTTATGATAATAGCATGATTAGCCTAGCAGGCATTAGAGATCGAGATTTATAATTTTTGTAAGAGCTGTAGAATAGATCATAAGGAACATTTTAGTCTACACAGAAGAACGCGAACACGAGTTGACAGTCAAGTTTGGGAATGCACTTTGAGACTGACTGAATTCGCGCTTTAAAATGCAAACATTTTGCGTATCTATTGCAAGTTTTAGCTTAATTTAAAGATGGACAAAAATGTATGAAGTGATCCTTTTTCAAATTATTGAGTACGGTCTGAAATATTTGAAGATAGCTAAAATATGATGCACGGCACAGAATATAGCGCCAAGCATTGGGTGAAGGCAAAGGAATAACACATAAGGAAAAAGCAACACTCAAAAATGAAAGCCTCTCTTTCAGACTGAAAACAACCAAGAAAATGAAAAACGAAAAAATCTTCAATTTACCTAAATTCAGTCAGTGATTTGCTAAAGTTAATTAATTTCACGTTAATACCCAATATTCTTCGTGTAAAACCTGCTCTTAATCAAATGTTTGATTCCAACAATTTGACAACCTATATCAACCATACATTCCGGATAGAAAATCAAAAAGGATAGTTATTTAAAAAAAACTAGATGAGCAACACTTCTGTAGATAAGAAAAGAATTACCTTATGTCTCATCAACTACTTCTCAGGACACCCTGCCTGCTGTTGTTATTATAACCCCTTTAATGATTTGGAGAGTCCCCATCTTTCAGAAATTGACAATCTATGCAATACAAAGTTGTGTCAATTTGATAGGACGCCCAACCATTCATCTCCTACATTATACCAGCTTCTCCTAGATAGAAAGCGATTTCTATAGAAATACCAAAACGCCTCACAAGGAAGACTAGTAAAACTAAATCCACGATTATGATTGCGTGGAATTCTAATTTGTAATATATGGATTCGAAACAAAGAAAAATTCCATAAAACCGTTTACTCTCTACACTTTCTATAATTGCTTCCCAGCAACCACTGTTCACACAACCACTCTTGCCTAACTCAAGAATTTCTCAAAATGGCATTGGTTATGCATGGTGCTTAGACAGATATGACTGAAAAAGTGCAGATAATAGTAGAAGTATAAAAAAGTTAAGGTTGGCAGCATAAATTAACCTGTGGATTTTCTGCAAAATTAGCAATTTTGGCGATGAAATAGAAGATCGATAGTAATGCAATGAAAGAGAATTTCGAAAAGCTAAAAAGAGTACTTTGAAGGCCTACCACACCTGTCTTGCGAGATTATCCATAATGGGCAACACGCGTGGGCCTTAAGACCAATTACAGGCCTCGTTAACGCCAAAACGCTGAACAATGTGCAGTTAATTATTGTCTTCCAAAAGTACAGCAAGTCGACTTGATAATTAACCAAAACTTTGGAGACTAACCGTAGCGATATAATCATTGCGAAATTGGCTAGAAAAGACTCCTACTTTCACGGCTCAATTGTTATTCAATGATCTCATCA